CAAGCCCACCTTTTGTTGACTTTTTGGGAAGCGTTTTTAAAAATAATTATCGTTTTTTACTTTTAAAATTTTTCTAATGGCCTATTATATTGATTATTTTGGGAAGAAGGAGGTGTTGTGGGTGTATGGGATAACTTGTATCAACTTAAGATATTATTTGCGAAAATTAAGGGAAGATTTCCTGGTTCACCTTCCCAGGCTACGCTTATGGAAGAAGTCGAAAATTATCACACCATGTCTATTTATAATGAATGATTGCTTTTATATCTTTAAACAGATTATAAATTCATTTGTAACATGTAATGTAATGCTTCCCCTATTATATAAATATTGTGCCTTAACAAATTTTCTTACCCACCTACAAATTTTGGGGGTCTCTACCCAACCCCAATTAATTGTTTTATATTTATATAGTATAATGATCACATTAGGACATGTTTTATTTTATAAATATAACTTTATCGCCTCAGATTTAATTTTAAACATATACCAAAGTTATTGTGCAATTAATATAAATAAATATTCCAATTTTTCGATATATATTGCAAAATATTAAACTTTAATAAATTCATTTGGAAATTAGCTACCTAAATTATGGTTATATATATACACCTATATATTCATTCAAAAATTCTCCTTTATTAACTCATTTGGTTTCCATGGGTTTTACTGCAATAATTTTTTTTATATTAATAGAAAAAAAATAACCCCATCAATAATGAATTTGATAAATTTTCTTTCACCTTCTGATTCGCATTAATTGCCATTTTTTTCATACCCTTATATATATATTCACCTATATTGATATCAGTTTTCTATATTATTATCTTGGACACTTTCCAATCGTATATTCCTAAAAAAATAATAATGACCCGATTAAAATAATTATATATGTTTAGTAGGTTTTTTTGTTATTGATCTTTTCCATTTTCTCATGCCTTCTATTTTTTCTGTTTTTCTCACTATAAAATTAAAACACAAATAACATTTGATTTGCTATATTAAATAAGTATTATATCAAGTATAGTACCGAAGAGAAATACATATAATTCTTCAAAACATCCAAATTGCTAAATTTAATAACAACACATATTTAATTATTAAAATGAAATTATATAATGATTATAATAAGTTTTAAATTCTTGATTAAAATAAATATTTTTATCAATTATTGTAATGGATCATGAAGCCAATAGCTATTCTATTTTCCATATCAGGAAGTGAATATAACATAAATCTGAGCTATTTGAAGCCTACATTCAAGATAATATTACTCAAATTTAAAAAAATAGTAGATAGATTGGAATGACAGAATAATGTAAAGATCAGTATACCCCCCCCCCCCTCCATTAATACCGGTATTTAGACTAGAATAGTGTTGAATAGGGCTTTCACGGAATGAAATAATTTTAAAAAAAGCTTATCATATTTGAAAGAAAACAGAAAACCAAGAAATGTAGAAGCTTCAGAACATAGATTGTTTTCTGAAATCTCTTCATTTTTTGACTAAGTATTAATAGAGAATCAGATGAAAATATTTTACAAAATGTTATTAAATATTTTAATCAAATTCCAGGAAATAAGAAAGAAAAAAACAATTATAATATTAAAAATTAATTTAGGAAAATAAAATAAAATTTAATTCTTTTTTTCATTTTATTAATTACGTATTATATTATTATTATTAGCAAAATAAAATTTCAATGGCCAGCACTGTATTTATCAGAGACCTGCAGGCCAGGCCCCTAAACCCGGCCCGGCCCTAAACCCGGCCCGGCCCTAAACCCGGCCCGGCCATATAAACCGCCCCTAACCCGGGCCGGGCCTAAAAAATTTTTTTTTAAACATATCAGGGCCGGGCCTAAAATTTTTTTTTTTAAATATATCCGGGCCGGGCCGGGCCTAAAATTGTTAAACCCGGGCCGGGCCTTAATATTTTTTATAAAAATTTTTACATTATGAGTTAATAGTTATAAGATTATATTATATTATAGTTATGATTAATATAATATTGGGTGATGGTTAACACTACCTAACAACCCACAGATCGATTTAATTATTAATTTCCTGCAAATTTATTCAAAGTATTAATATATTTTTTTATAATTCATATCTAAATTTTTACAACATATTTTACCAAAACAATCAAATAATGTAATATTTTAAATAAGCCCCAATATTCAAGTATTATTAATATATTTTTTTATAATTCATATCTAAATTTTTAGAATATATTTTACCAAAACAATCAAATAAAGGAATATCACTTCTTAAAGTTTGTAATACCTTTCAAAGCGAAAAGGAGAAATAAAATTGATTTTACTTAATATAAAGCATTTTTTAATTGAAAAATTTGTTTTACACAAGTATCATTTTATTTCTCTTTTTCTCTGTCCCAAATTCAAGCAATTACGTATGTAGTCAGGGACAGATCGCAAAATGACGGAAAACTATATAGAAGATTATATTAAATTACAAGAGGCTCATGAAGTAAATGAAATACCATCGACCAGTCAAATTACGACTGTTGTTAAACAAACTGAATTAAGACAAATGGGGCGATGGTAATTCTGGTAATATGTCAATACCATGATAATTTGTGAATTTTTAATATCTTTCTTGAGTATAGGGTTTCGTCAGTCATGCTGGTTTTTTACTTTGCAAACTGTCAAATATTTATTGCATTTATTATATTTACCTTGAGTCATGAAAGTTTTTAATCCAACATTTTTCATTATTTTTTTTTACAATATTATATAATACAATTATCTTCTTTTGTTAAAAATTTATATTATAAAATAAATTATATTAATATTGTGCAATTAGATTATATTTTCAAAATACTATTTATTATACATGCATTTTTTTAAATAGCGATTTATTTTTATTTTATAAATTAAATAGTAAATTAAATACAATATATTATATTCTCAAAATATTTTCCATTTTTATAAATTAAATATTAGTTTTATTTTTTTTAAATGTAATATAAAATATAGTATATGACAAATATTATTACCATTTTTATGAATATTAGTTTTATTTTTATAAATGCAATATAAAATATAGTAGCTCAAAATATCCATTTTTATAAATAACAGTTTTATAATTTTTATAAATTCAATATAATAATTCTCAAAATATTAGCTTTTTACATGTATTTTTTAAATAATAAGCGATAATACTCGCTAAAAAATATGGTAAAATACCTCATAGGTGAATTTTTGTATATACCAGGTCGAATATAATTTTAAAAAATTCCGAGCCGGGCCTAAAATTTTTAAATCCGGGCCGGGCCGTAAAAATTTTTTTTAAAAAATATCCGGGCCGGGCCTGGCCTAAAAAATTTAAAACCGGACGGGCCGGGCCGTGCAAATGGTACCTCTGCAGGTCTCTGGTATTTATTGATAATCGTTCAACTTAAGGAATGATCAACTGATAAGAAATTTTTTTAAATTGGATGAAATATATTTAAAAATTTAACGAAAAATTTCTTTGAGTTGGATAATACTCGATCTTATTATATTACCAGCAAATGGTAATCTGTCACAACACTGCTGATAAATCACAAATGATAGTGAATCACAAAGCGATAAATGAAATTCCAATATACTAACAAAAAATATATGGTTAGGAATAAATGAAAACTCGTTATTACTATGCTCTAATAATATGATCGTTTAGTTAGGTTACGTTCAAAATCATTTTTGATTAAATTTTGATTCCCTTAATCTAATATTTTATGTTAAAAGAAGTTTTAAATATAAAAAACAATCTTAAACCACATCAAAGACCTAGACTAGCCAGCCCGCTTAAAGTAATAATTAATATTGGAGTCAAACTATTTTTTTTAAATTAGCTTTTAGCTCTCATTTGATACTAATATTTAGGTAATTTAATCTACTTTTTTTTTAAATCGCCTAAATCGAGCCTTTTAACAACATTAAACACAAATAAACAATCCAAAGAACATACTTGTAATGGACTTGGATTGTAGAGACTGCGAGCACTGCTAATGCTAATTTAAATAACTTCGGTTATTCATATTTTATTGACCTCTCAGTCAGCCATCAAAAATATCTCACTAGGTATTCTATCCCATTTTGCCACAAGAAAAAAAAATTATTCAATTGTTTTTCCCAATTCTTGAATTTCATTATCAGAGATTATATGAATTAACCTCTGAGGCAATAAGTCATTCAATTCGATAATCTACCTCTTATGAGAACCCTGTTGTGACGAATTTTGGCTTTTTCTTCTGATTAAGAGATAAAATAAAAAATTATCTTAATTGCAATTAAAAAAAGATAAAATATAATGTTTATAAAATAAATTGATGTGAGAGGAAATGATGTTTTGAATTATTGTAACTCCTCTTGATCTGTTTAAAAACCGATATATATATATAAATTTTATCTTCGCCAAATTGCATTATCGTTAAATCAATTGCGATAATCCATTTGCAATAATACATTCGTGATAATGATCTCGCGATTTTACTGTCGTATATTCGTTAAAATGCATTTACGATGTCAAGCGGTAATGTATCGTCTATAATGTTTTTCCTGGTTATTACCATGTAACCAAAAAAAGATATCCAAATCAAACAAATAAGGAAATTATTTACAATTTAGAGAGCGAAAAAAAGAGAAAATCAAAATCAATACCCAAGAATTAAAATTATCTAATTTTGGAGGCTCAGAGCGATCCTAACCGCACCCCCATTTGCAGGAGCCTGGCTTCTAATTATTATAGATTTTTAAAAATAAAAGACATATATTAAAGTTATTGGCATTTTTTGTGACCCCTTTATTTTTTAAAACCCTTTGGCCTCTTAATATCACAGCTGCTACGTCATTGTTTATAATAAATTGATAAAAAAAAAATTAAATTTTGTATGAAAATAAAATTTATAAAAATTAATATACATGTAAATAAATTATATGGTAATTAATATAAAATTTCAATACAATAAAAGAAAAATAATTATTTAGTTTAACCTTTATGGATGCATATGTTTGTCTGAAAAATATTTCAGGGACTTCCTCTGTGACGTATTATATATAATATAAATGGTATAGTTTTTGCAGTAATAATAAATAAGCGATTCACATTCAGGGACTTCATCTGACGTATGTGAAGGAATTGTTGATGTATATGTGACGCACATGGAAAAGAAATACATCATCTATATTTTGGCATGAAAATTTTTCTTGTTTTCGTAAATATCATATTAAGCTAATAAAAATCCCGACCCCCTATCTCTCTAATTTGAAATAAGTAATAGTTAATAACTGCAATTAATAATGACTCCAATTTAAAATTTCCGGGGAAAAGGTAATTTAATAATTAAAAATAAGAGTAAAAAACCAAAATTATTTATGTAAAAGGCAACATAGTCAAATGCCTGGAATAAGTGAACTAGAGATCTTCATTTAAAATTTGTAAGGGAAAACGCAGATTAGAAAAATCCGGACTATGCTTATGAATCGATACGAATAGTCTTAGAAGGTAGATAGGTTTATCTTTTCTTAAATCTAAAATACACATAACATAGAATATGAGGTAATCGATATATCATTTAAGCACAATGTGGTTGCTTTTTCTTTGAAATTTTTTTAATGACATGATAAATGGGAAGGGGAATTGTGGTAAGCCTAAGAATATTTCGGATTGCAAAACCTTTTAAAATAGTTTTCAAGTCAGACAGGAGCACCTGCTAAAGTTCTACCAGAAAAAAGTGGGTGGGTTAATATTACAAATCAGAGATACAAACAGAATCATTAAATAGGTATTAACCTGCTCGATTTTGAACCTCTAAAAAGTCTATGGACTAGTTTATTTACATATGAACTGTTTTGTGATTATTTATAAATTAATTTTGATAAGTAACAAACCTTAATTTTAAATATTTTCATATATTGTATTTGATGGGCTATAAAAAAAAGGCTTATAGAAATATAAATTATATTTTTGAAAAATCTTTTTATAGATATTAATTATTTAATAGAAGAGAAATGTTGAAAATATTTTAAGTGTATATAGGTAAAAATAGTATTCTTTAGGAAATTAATTAAAACAATTATTTATATTATATGTAATAAATACCATTTAGTTTTTATCATAGGGTAACCATGATCTATAAGAGATGGTTTCAAAAAAAATTTGGGGTTTCACCAGGGTTGGGCGTATGGCGAATACTTGTATTTAAAAATAATAACAAATATTCTTTATTGTATTTAGTATTTATTTGAATATTTTCGGAGAAATCAATATTATTTCAATCATGATTTGTCAATTTAGAGCTAGCGGGGTTTGCTAAACCATACACGTCAATTATAGCAATTAATAATGAAAAAAATTTCAAAATCTTGAAAAGGCAATTTCATGGATGTTTATGATTGGTATTTAGGATTTATGCTAAGAAATCTTAATCTCTCCTTAAAATTCATATTTTTATATGTCCAAAATGTTTATTAAATTATCCAAAGTTAAGTTTCAATTTTTATATATAATTAGCTTCAATTTATAAGTATTATGATATTTTGAACAATAAAACAATAAAATTATTATATACATATCATTATTAATAAATAAAAATGCGTTTCAATTTATTATGGCCTAAAATAATTTAGGAAGCCCCTTGAAGTGGTTTGCCTCACCACGCTATTGGGGCTTGTGAACAAAATTTTCACTTTTACAAAAAATAAAATTAAAAAAAAATAATTATATTCTTAAGATTTTTTATAAGGCACCTTTATATAGTATACTGTTAGGTATCCAATTAATATATTATTTTTTATATTATCTAAACAATAAGAGCTATAGCCAATTTTGTAAAAATTTGTTCGACTAACCCCAGTCTCCCCTATCTAAGAATGGGATGAAAATGGATATTTTATATTAATGCCCAGGTGCTAGACGAGGTTTAATTAGTGTTATATCATAAAATTTAGCCTTCGATTCAACGTCTAGTTAAATATTATAAAAATATTCATCTACATTCATTCTTATTGTATCTACCTGTTCATATATATTTTCCGCCAAATCAATAACCTGAACCAAATCTAAATTTGGTTTTTGTAAATTTCTACAAAGTAGTGAGCTATAGGAAATAATTTATTGATGCAACTAGCAGCAATGATAACTCTGATTGTTTTGAATTCAATAATGATATCGCTTCTGACGACACACATTAGTTTTTTCATACTCAGCCTTATTTAACCTTTGTATTTCTATTTCTTCGATTCTACAAAATGGAAGTAAAAATGAAAAATATTTAAAACATTATAGATATTTATTAATAATTAAAATATTATTAAAAATACTTATTAATTCTAACTCACTAACAAATTATTTTAAATTTAATAAAATAATTATATATAATAATAAAAAAATTACCGTTTGATTTCAATCTCTTTGACTAAATATTTTTCCATTTTATTAATATTTTTGAATAATATTAATGTACTCACAAGGAAAGGAAATTTTAATAAAATTTATTTATAAAAAATAGGTTTTATGTTGTTGGAAAATTGATATTCAAATATTTGTAAAATTTTGATTGGGGTGGGTTGGGGGGGGGGTGGGGTGTAAAATTTTTATTAGCTAAAAATGATATTTTTGAAAACAGTCAAATAGATTGCAAATAAACTATTGAATTAAAAACTACCCAACCTGATCATACATGGCTATACTAACTGAATTTTAATATATATTTTTTTTATAAAATATAGCTAGTATCTGTCATAGTAATCATCATAAATCTGATCGGAATTTTCGCGTTCCATTTTTCTGGCGAATGCTCACATTCTCACTCCCACTCTGGTCATTCCCATTCCCACCTAAGCCATTCCCATCATCATGATCACCATGACGCACCCGGATCTAAGCTGGAATTAGTGCAGACCACCGACAATTCAGGTTTGTTTTTCAAATAAACTTTTATAGTGACTCCTATCTATCATATAAAAAATATATATCCTATTTTTTTTTGTATTCATCAACACTATTTGTTTTTTTGTAGTATGGACCAAGTTAATAAATAAACCACTTATTGAAAAATATTTTTCTTTGGGAATAACTAATTTTGAATAAATTATTATTGAAAATATAAACGGTTACAAAAAGAAGTTAGAGATGGAAAAGGAGACCAATGGATACATCATAGTGCTGCCACCATCTGTTGATTACCTCAAAAGATATCGAAACGCATGATGGCCATCATTCTCATCATAATAAAGAAACATGTTCTCACGACCATAAGGGTCACCAACATTCTCACCACGACGAAGAGGAGCATCATCATTATAAGAATAACTCTCACTCCGGACATGGGCATAATATGAATATGGAAGGTAAAGAAAAGCAAAGAAAAAAACGATTAAAAGAAAATAAATTATAATAAGGAAGGAAGGGGTGAAAGAAAAGATAAAAATACGTGTGGAAAAAAATGAAAAAGAAAGTTAAAGCAAATTATATTTTTATATCCTTATAATTTTGTTCAAGGCATATTCTTCCACGTTTTAGCCTACACTCTGGGCAGCGTAGGTGTCATTGTTTCCTCTTTTCTAATGCAGAGGCACGGTTGGTTCATAGCTGATTCCATATGTTCCCTCTTAACTTCCTTATTGATATTCTTCAGGTTTTATATTTGTTGTGGATAACTCAATAAACCAATCCTTCTTTTTTTAAACATAGGGGTATCTATTAAGGCTGTCCGATTCACAATTTTTTTTTTCACCAATTGGATATTTATAATATTTTCTAAATATTAATTCGATCTAATTTTCTAATAAAAAAAAATTGCTTTTTAATATTATAATTTTATTTTTAACTTTTGGATTTTATTTAAAAAATGCAATCATTCTTTTATTTTTTTCCGGTCATGGGTTACTTTATTTGAATATTTACTAATATGATATGATGTCAAAATGTATTAGCAAATAATTAATTTTTAAAAAGGTAAAATAAATAAAGGTGAAGAATTATAGAAATAGAATTTAAGGGAAAGGATAGGGGATAAAAAAAAGGAAGCTTGGAAAATGGAAGATTATTCAATGGAAGAGATGAAGCTTAGATAGTTAGAACAAATGATGGCGGTAGCAAGTTTTTGGCGTAAGAAGAGGGATTCCTTAGACTGGTCGGTTTTTTTGCGGATCTGTTTGCCTAAATCTTTAAAAACGTTGAGCTTTGCTACCGAAGGTGGTGAAAATGGAGCAGGGGATGGGTATGAATAAGAAAGAAGGGTCTAAGGAACTGTACTTTATGGTTTTGCGGGATTCAGCGAGGGCGAGGGCATCGATGTTATGGTTAGATGGTGCATTTGGGTCAATGCAGGTGAAGTCTCAAACCAGAAGCTGATCCCTTGACCAGGGGATCAAGGACATTCCATCAGGACCTTTACCATTGGTTCTAAAAATTCCGGTTGGTTCTAGTCTAGATGGAATGCCTCCTGATTTGAGCGCGCGTAAAATGATGTCATCGCATTTGGTGTGCCGTAAAAACGGCCACGACAAAAGCGACAATGGAGGCAGTGCCTACCCTTGCTGTCGACGCTGGTTTCGCAATGTTGCATTGGTACGGAAGAACAATTTTGCAATTGAGCCGTAGTCCAATAGCAAATCTTAGCTTGTCAGCAGTGAGCAACAAATCGAGGTTGTTGGAGGGTATGGTTTCCAGAAGCTCATAACCAGATCCTTTGTTTAATTGGTGAAAAAGTATGAGATCGTCGTCGTAAAGGCTCGATTTTAGGTAAGCTAAGGGGGCTTCGTTGAGTGGAATATCCCAGTCTCTCTGTGAACATGAGGAGGGTCGTGGCTGGGCTTCAGCTAATAAGGGGTCAGGGAAGTTGGAAAGCTGGCTAATGGTCGGATGAAAGACGAGAGGCGATGAAACCACTGATGGAAAGAGTTAGAGGTGAGCGTAAGCCGATGCCCCCGAGCTTGCATAGAAGTGATGCTTGTAACCATGAATTATGGTTAATGCGGAGATTAAGGATCTCTTCGGCGAGAGATTTGACGGAAATTTAAAAAGATTTTAATGAGTCGGGGAATTTGAAAATTGAGGTGGATCGAAGGGCGTAGAGAATTTTAGAAATGTAATAAAAGTTTTTGAGGAGAAAAAAAGTTTGATGTGGAGGGAGAAACTTAGAGATGTTTTTGAAATGAAGTAAGCTGGATGATGCGTTAGTGAAGAAGTGATTGATGGATTCCAGGCCACCGACTGGAGAGCCGAGAGACTGAGGGATGAGAGTTCGGTTGTGTGGAAGTTGTGGTTGAATGGGATGGAGCAATGGGCAGATCTCAGCTTTTTGTTCGTTGAGTGAGAGAGCGATAGCATGGGAATGTGTTTTGATGATGGTGAGTGCCTTAGCAACCTCGTTAGGGGGACCACAGAGTATTCCATCATCAATGTACCAAGTATGCAGTGGGAGATTGCAGTTGGTAGAAATGTTTTTGACCATTTCGTTGATTCCAATGCAGAAAAGTATCGATCTCAAAGGATCGCCTTTGGATCCCTTCAGATGATGAAAGTAAATAGTTGTTGGATTGGAAATGAGATGGCTTGGAGTAGCAAGAATGGAAGAATTGAGAAAAGGTGGGGAATGAGTGGTACATTTGTGGGAGAAAGTGAGAGCGGCGAATGGAGTTGAAGGCGTTAGAGAAATCCATTTTAACAAGGATTTCGTTACTTGGGTTAATTTGGAGATGGATACGAGTAGCGTGTGTGGCTATTTTGCAGCCTCCTTGGATCCGATTCCAAGTTGGTGAGGTGCTAGAATTAAGGCTGCGTTGTCCTTAATTTTGGAAGATATTAGCTTAGCGACAAGACGGCGAAATACGGTTCCGATTGCAATTGGGCGGATATCCTTATTAGGTTTTTCGAGTGCGATTAGTTTAGCACCGAATAAAAGTGGTCTGATGGACTCGGGAACGAGGCTGTGTGCTATTTTGTTATAAAATGTTGTTAAATTTTGTACAATTGGAACCTGGCTGACTATGAGGGGGGATGTGAGATCCTGGAGGAAGATGGGACGAAGTCCATCGTAACCGGGAGAAGAGTCGTGATGGAAGGATAGAATAGATTTACGCACCTCGGCGGGGGTGAAATCAGAAGGGAAAATATTGGGAGGAGGTGGAGGTATGAAATCAACTCCGGAGGGGTGCTTTAGTTTGAGTTTGTTGAAACTCTCTTCGTTACTAATGAATTATCAGAAGCTACTAAGCGAAGAGCGGATTTGATGTTTAAGTTGTTAATTTGTTGGAAATAACTTTGCCTTTAATTATAGTATGCAAAGTTTTTTGGGAACACGAGAAGATGTTGTGGTCGTAAGAGTGAGGGGATGTAAGGTTGCGTCTTTAATTTGTTGGGTTAGAGATTTCTGAATCTCTGGATTGGGAGATTAGAGAGTGGTGAAGGAAAATTTGAAGAGTTTGAGCCAATGATCGAGGGAGGAGAAGTTATTTAATAATGATTGAAGGCATGTGCAGAGGACTTTGGCTACTTGTACTCTGGAGCCTTTAGAAATTCTAGAGATAATGGGAGGTTTGTCAGATTTTAGGAAGTTGATGATGTCGCCATGGGTGGTTGGTTAGAGGGGAATAAATGTGTCTGATGGGGTTGGTATGTGGACGTTGTTGGATGAGGTGGAAAAGTGGCTGTGAGTAGAAAAAATGGAAAGGAGATTTAGGAAGGGAGGAGAAGGACGCTTCCCGGACTCAGGATAAACAATGCCATTAGTTTTGTGTTTGGTGAAGAGGCCAGGTTTGGTGATTTTTATGTATTTAGAGTGCGGGACAGTGTACCATTATGTGGATAAGGAGAGGTTGTGAAAAATTGTGTAGAGGATGGGGATGTTACAGAGAGTAAGAAGAAATAATCTGCAGAGAATAATGATGTTGTAAAGATAAGGTTATTAAATATGAGAGAAAAGAATGAGCATAAAGGTTGTTGGGGTTGGTTGGTGTTTGATAGAGGTTGGTTATTTGTTTTAATAAATGTAATGGTTAAAGTAAATAAAAGATTGAAAGACTGAGGAATATATATAAAAGGGGGAAAGTTTATTATATCTTTTTTTTAAAAAATAAGTATTCCAAATCGTTTTCTATTATTTAAAAAATTTTATTTTTAATTGATAGTACGGAATGAATGTTTGATGTTAGAAGAAAATAGATAAAAGAATTTAAGTTATAATTTCAATCATACTCAATAATCGAATTAAATTGAGATTAACCCATTGATCATGTTTCATAAATATTTTATTAAAATTATTATAAAATCAAAATATCTTTATATGAATCTCGTACTTATAAAAATATAAGTATGGGTATGCGCGATGCAGTATTGTATTATATTACGCGATTATTTTACGATCCTATTTTTCACGAAATTTTGATCCGATATATCACACCAGATAGCTCTAGGATGGATTGCCCGCCCATTTTTAAATTAATATTTTATAATCGGTGGCGCTAAGTCCCTTACTTTCCTATTGATGTTATTTAGGGTTTTATATTTTTTTTGAGAAAATAAATAAAATAAAGTACACGTGAATAGATTTATTTTTATTATAAATGGCGGCTCTTATATTCATTCTAACCTTAGTCACATCAGGATTATTAAACCCGATAGTTTACATATCAGGATTATTAAAAATGGAAGTTTACATGGAACAATATAATAATCAAGCAAATTCATTTATTGATTCTATTGTCCTGCCACTAGTTAAAGAAACCTGCTACGTTTTATTGCTAAAAACTCCAAAAGAATTGATGTCCGACCTTAAGGGCATTTCATTGAAAGTAATTTTTTTTCCTTTTCCTAATGACAAATTTGTACATTAAATACATTTTGAACAATAATGATTTTTCTTTTAACTCTACACCCTTTTTTTATTGAACATATGATTTTGTTAAAAAATAATAATCACGGAGAAAAATATACTGTTGCATCCGAAGTTTTTATCTATAACAGGTCGGACCTGAATAATCGATTTATATAGGATATTAGCTATATTTAAGCGTCTTTTTTAATTAGATATCTATTTTCAGGCTCAGCTTTGCCTGGGTTTAATTTTCCAGACAAGACCACATATGATTTATCGGTATAACTTGGGTTCTTAAATCTTTGACACTTCACGGATTATTTAAAATAACAGTACGACGCTGTTTTTTAAAAGTTGGCTCTTCAAATGTGCTTTATTTTATAAAAGGTGGATACGAGAAGCTTATAAATGCCATCCATCATTGGATTTCTCAACGATACAATTTAAATTTAATATATTGGATTCTAGTCGGTTTAAAAAAAGCACATCTTTAATTGATATTTTCTCCCTATTTAGCTTTCACCTTTTCGGATGGTAAGTTCCATCATTAACCTTTTCCATTTATTTTATTTAGTATGTAGACAATCCATCGCATTTATTTTGTATTCAATTGTGTCGGGTCTCACTTTATGTGCATCACTCTGTTGTTTGCCTTTCACGCTAATGTTCTTGATCTTGTTGCCGACATAATCTTCAGACTTCTTCATAGTATGACCAAACCATCTTAGTACTCTTATGATAATCTATCTTCATTATCATGAGTACTTCTATCCTGTCTTTCTCTAAGACTCCCACTCTCATTTCTAGCATTTTCATTGGCCATGTTTCTGAGCTTAGGACAGTTTTTAATAATCAACTGTAAATCATTCCTTTTTTTATTTTCTAGGAGAACTTTTTTATCGAAGTTAAATGAAAGTTGCAAATAAGGCTGTACTATATAAAGCATCGGCACAATTTGGGGAAGAAATAAAGTCCAAAATAAATTACGGATGGATGATATGACGAAACTCATTTTAAAAAAATAGATTTCAAATTATTGTTATTTAGTTTTGCTAAAATGTTTAATGAGAAAATCAGTTTGAATCCACCGCAAAATTAAATTAGATTTTAAGAAAAAAAATAATTTTTAAGGGTGGGGGGGGGGAGTTGAAGTAAATATTAATTAAAAGTGGTTAAAATAAGTTATTAAATAACCATTATATTTAAATGTATTTTTTTTTGAACTCCCTCTTCAATTAGATAGATAGAATGGACCACATAATATCTTATAAATATCCCCATGTGTGGAGACAATCTTCTTCGGTTTACGTAGTTTCAATTCGCATCATGATCCACTCCAATTCCCCAGCTTCCTATCAACACTATTTATCATCCCAGGTTTTAGCTTGTAGTAATATGATATGATGGGTGATCACATTATTTTTTATCAACGCTCACTAGGCTTTTTCCCTGTCCTTGTGACTTACTTCACTGGTGCCGATAATTTTTTTATTAAATATCTCTCATACATCTAAGGATATTTTTTTTACTATTATATATGTTCAT